TCTTCGTTAGCTTATTAATCGACTCGAATCGAGCTTGTATTATAATAACAAGAAAAAGACGATAATAACGATAATCCCCGGGGGAAGGGGGAGTTTTCAATTTTCAAAAGCCGTGAGCCGAGCAGACAGCCGGGGAATGCCTATCGCGTGTATATATATATATATATATATGTAAGGTTTTTGGCGCTGCGGTAACACGTCCCATTACTTATTGTGTATATATAATTATACACCGAGTCGCGACCCACGCGTAAGGTATATACGCGCCAAGGCGCGCAAACAATATTTATCGGTCCGGCTCGGATTTACATGGTAAACTGCGTCAAAACACTCGATCTCGCCAATGTCGAGTCTCACCTTTTTTTTTCTTTTCCGTCCTCTCGGCGTGTATACGTGTGTCGAATAAAAAAATATAAATAAAAGAATACACACAAGCAGCCAGCCATGTACAGGACTGAAAAATTCCTCGCTCGCTCCCGCGAGCTGGCGCGTTATTACTCTTGTACTCGCAGGAGCAGAAAAAGGGGGGGGGAGGAGGAGGCAAGTGTAAAATAAAATAAAGGAAAAGGAAAAAGTATGCCGAGGAGCTGCTGCAGCAGAGTGAGAAAGAAAGGGACGACTCTGAACGGTATTTGCGCGTGGGCAGTGAATCACTTGAGCGAGGATGCAAGCACCCTGCGGCTCTCTGCTGCTGCTCGCCTCCTCTTGGAAAAAAAAAAAAAAAAAAAGGAGAAACAGCGCGCCCAGCAACCAGGCACACCTACATACACCTTCAATGGAATATAAATAAAATTTATTCACGGCTACCGAAACCCACGGGCCCCTCTGCACCATCCTCTTTCTCACCTTTTTTTTTTTTTTTTCCCTTGGCTATATTCTCTCTATTCTCTTGGGGCGTGAGGTTGTATCAACCCCCCCCCCCCCCCCNCAGAAGAGAAAAAGCAAAAGAAAAATGAAAAATAATATGTTCAAAGACAAGATTCCCTCTTCTCTCTTTTTATTTTTTTTATTTATGAGTGATTGTGTATTATACCTGCACGTAATCCGCTCGCCTCGCGATACATCCACATGTATGTATATCCGTAATGCATATTATATACACGCATATATGAAACAGCAGGACCAAAAGAGGAGCAGAATTAATATAAGAGCTTCCTCGCGAAGCAGTATGTATATTATATATACATGCATGCTCGGAAGCGCTGCCGTAGTTTGCGACGAAATAAATGTAAAAAGGATTGCCAAGGAGGAGGAGGAGGTGGAGGTATAGAGGCAGAAGCTGCGCGCAGCGGGTGTTGCTGCTGTTGCTCGGCAAAACGACGAGAGACACGAGAGAGAGAGAGAGAGAGAGGGGCCTGTGAGAACTTGAGAAATGTCATATCCGTCAGTGTTCGGGGATCTGCCTCCGAGAGTAGCCAACCGGTTTGCGACTATGTTATCCAGACTCGTTGGTGTTTGCTATGGTGGTGGTGGTGGTTAGTAGTCGCGATCGCGGGAGATAAGAGGGCGAGGGAGAGGAGCGATCGGCGAACAATCGGACCGGCTCCTATATACGTATATGTNTCGGCAAAACGACGAGAGACACGAGAGAGAGAGAGAGAGAGAGGGGCCTGTGAGAACTTGAGAAATGTCATATCCGTCAGTGTTCGGGGATCTGCCTCCGAGAGTAGCCAACCGGTTTGCGACTATGTTATCCAGACTCGTTGGTGTTTGCTATATTGTACGTGTGTGTGTACGCCTCTTCTCTTACATATATGTATATAATCTTCCCACTTGGCAATATACAGTATTGTCCTTCGCACACAGAAACGCGTGCCTACATGTACATGTAACCATATATATATAAACGCAGGTGTGTGTGTGTGTGTGTGTGTGAGTGCACGAGCCGATTTGCATAATAAATTGCCGGTCTCACGCTCGGAGCCTCCTTCGCCTCCACCTCCGCCGCGGCTCTTCGTGGTAAAACAACGAGGCTGAATCGGTGTTGGCTCTGACGGAACAGCGACGAACCTCTCCTCCTCCTCTTTCATTTTCCGTGTTGGCCGATGTGGGGTTGTACAGGGAACGGATGCCAGCAAAAGTGGGCCACTCTCGGCTCCTCAAAACACACATAGTTACAGCGACCCCTTCCCAAGGAATTTTTCGTCCGATCGGTTCAATCGCTATACGCAAACGTTCCCACAAACGCACCATCGATAATCAACGGCAATAAAAAGAGGAAGGATAAAAAAACCAAACTTATACAACGCGAGTCAAGTATACAGCGCGAAACGAGCAGCGTATGTATAGGTGCTACTGACGTAATATGCCGGCCGCATCCAGCGCGGGCTAACGTCGTTTAGACACGAAAAAGCAAAGGTGGGGCCTTCCCGCCGTATATGTATATATGCACGTCTTAGAAGAGAGAAAAGGGTCGGGTCGGAGGCGCGAGAATCTTCTCTAGCGGTGAAAAGGGAGATCTAGAGCAGATAGGAGCTTCCCGAGGGGGGTGAGGCGACTCCCGGCGTATTGATTCCCAGCGCCCCCCTCCCGCCACCTTTTCGCCTTGGCCCGCCTCGAGCTCGTGCTGACTATCTGCTACCGGCCGATAAGATCCGGCCGATAGGGCACGATTATGTATATATATGCGCTCCCGCGCGTACGGGGGCACAAGGGCTCTTTTTCCATACCCTCGACGTAAACACTAGAGCCGCCCTCTGTTAAAAGACAATTAATTTGACAGCCGTAACAACAATGACGTTTTTTTTTTTTTTTTTTTCGGGTCTCCTGTCACTCTTCGGCGCGTCGTTACGCGGAAGGTGCTCGTGTATATATCCCGTCAAAATAGATTCTCAATAGAGCTGAACTTACGGGTATACACGAGTCCAAATAATGGGGAGTTTTTATGTATTATCTCGAGGGCTATTTTATCGCAATTTACAGCCGTGCGTACGAGGGAAAACACGTGAGCTCGTGCCAGCGGGGTGTCGCACGTACAAAAACTCGAGCGATTTTTCGGGCTCTCTTCTTCTTTTTTTACTCTTGCCTGACGTTCGACGGCTAGTTTGGAGGAAAAAAAAAAAAAAAAAAAAGAGAGAGAGAGAAAAAGAAGAAGAGGATCCAGAGGGAAAAAAGTATCGTGGCGGTGAGCACAAAAAGCCCCGTAATTTTTCCGTCGTCCGACAACTGTCGCGCCGAGGGAAATTTCAATAAATTCGCCAGTGTACACGCGGTATCTGCCGGACAAGGGCAGGTATACGGGGAGAAGGACACGAGGAGCATCAAACGAAAGCCGTATAGAGCCTCGCTCCGTGTCATCTGGCTTTTCTTTTCTCTACCTTCGCTTTTCTTTCGAGGGTCAAGAGAAAAGAGGGCCAGGGGGTTAAGTGGTTCTCGAGAGAAAAAAAAAAAAAAAAAAAAAAAAACAGAGGATGGCCCCATTATGCGATGATTTTCGTCTTCGGCACTTTTGTCACGGTGCGCCGCCCACCAAAAGGGAATATACACACACGCGTTTATACCAAAGAGAAAAATAGAGGGCGCACACGAACGCTCGATCGGACGGATTATCCAATCGGCGCGTAATTATTGGTCGCGCGGGCCGCCCATACTACCCGATGGATAACATTAAAGCCGCGCGAGTGTTATGCAAGTGGATTTCAAAAGCCTCTCCTCGAGTCGTCGATTGTTCGCCCCGTGAATTTCGTATTGATTTTTCAAACGAGGGAATCATTATACGTTTATCGATGCCATTATTTACTCGGATCGATTTTTCATTGGTTCATACACATAGGCAGGCGCACAATGGCAAAAACCAACGAGTCCGAGCGCATAATATTGTGTTACACGCAAACATCATTACGAGCTGAAACGAGTGTAGTATAAATCACTCTCTTCCCTCGTTTGTTGCGTTAAATGTTTGATGTATATATACCCACGAGAACTCCCGAGTCGATGGAAAAAGGACGGCGCTCGGGCGGCGCTCCTAATGCCCCTTTGGGATAATAGAGCTTTTTAGTTGAGTGTTTGGCCCTCGAGAGAGAAAAGGGTGGGTCGGTGGAGATGACGCACAGGTGTCGGGGAGCGGCGGTAGCGCGTTGTAGTGCCCCCCCCGATCACTTGGCCCGAAAGAAAAGAGGCCCCTCTCCTGTCGAGAACGGTACACAGACGCACACGCCCTCGACTCCTTTCTCGAAGGATTAAGTCGAGCGCGACGCGCCAGCCCCTCTTCTTCCTCAAATTCTCCCCCCCCCCCCCCCCCCCCCCCCTTCGCTGTCGATCCATTTGTCACTCGCGCGCTCGGACCTTTGGGCCCCCGTAAATCATACACTGCTTACAGGACTCCGTTCGATGATCTCGTGGCACCTCTATTATATAGCGCACGCATTCTTAAAAATAGTCACTTTCTCACACGATAGTCGAGAGATTTTGCCGTATAAATAGGCACCCGCAACTCCTTTAACCTCTCGTGCCGCACGAGATAAGTGCAATACATTATTCCCTTCTCTGTACTCGCGCGCTGAGAAACGGATTAAAGGTAGGCGTGTCCCTGCGTCATTCATTTACCATTCAAACGAACCTTTTTCTTTTATTTCTCGAGCGATAAAAAGAGCACACCGCTCGACAATGGCTCCTATATATGTTTACACGTATAAATATATATATATACGTGCAATGTTGTATACACGAGCCATATATTATATACATGTACAAAGCGCAACAGCGTAAAACAAACATATTGGCAGGAATCAATTTATGTATTGGTACCCACTTATGCATGCCTATATCCGTAGAGCAGGCGAAAGCGTGTTGTGCTCCATTTTTCATCCTACCTCCACGATTCGATTGTCCGATGAACAATTAAAAAAATCAGCAGCAGCGAGGAGACGTATGGAAATCTAATATGACTGAAAAAAAAAAAAAAAAAAAAAAATCCTCGATGCAAAAACAAAGTACGAAGAGTACACACGCACATAAGAGAAGTTTCTCACGAGCCTTGTTCCCAATTTTTGAATTTGCAGTCACTCCAGAGCGCGGCGAGGCGGGCCGGGACGAGCTGCGCGAACTGCAAGACGGCTACCACGACGCTTTGGCGGAGGAACCAGGCGGGTGAGCCGGTCTGCAACGCCTGCGGTCTCTACTACAAACTTCACAACGTAAGTACCCGACGCGAGATAAACAAAAACAAAAAAACTCCAACCTCTTTCTCTATATATTGTGTACGCCATTCGTCGGAATCAATATTTTTCGTAGCGCCAATCACGCGAGCGTCATACACCCGTGGCTTGTGCGATATCGTTTGAACATAAAACACGTGTCAAAGCCACGTCCCTCGAGTGCGACGCAAAAAATCACGCGCTCCCCGAACCGCATGGGTAAAAAGACGCATGGCAAAAACAATGAGTCCACATTCGGTCGCACGAGAAACTCGATATCTCGAGCCTCCTCGTCTCGATGGCTCCTCCTCGTGCGCGCCGAGTATATATACAGAGATGGTGACGCGTATCTCCTCGGGCAGTAGTAACTTTCCCATAATTGACGGGGTGGCAGCGACGCATCGGCAATTAGGAGCAGTATACGCACTCGTGGGGAAGAGAGGGTAGTTGTTTTTTCGCCCGACCCCCCTCAGGAAAGTCGGAGCGTGATCAACCGCGTGTGACACAGGAAGTCCTCCGGAAGGAGCCCTTTCTCTCGGCGCACGGGAGAGATTGGGTGCGAGACTCCCTGCGATCCATCACAAAGCCGATACATCACGGAAGGAAAAACGAAAGTGTGCCCAGCACGTCGACGTTTACGGGGTTGATAAATTTTTTGCACTTCCCCTCCTCCCACCTCCTGGAAGGGGGGGAGAGACAGTAGGTATAACGTATAGCGGACACAGCGGAAAAAACGTAAGAGATCGGAGCAAGGGAGGAGGAGGAGGAGAAGTCGCGACAATGGAAAGCGATCTGTACCCGCGTGCGACGGCAATCCGATATTTTCGCTCGCGAATGCGCTCGGCCCCCTCTTCCCGAAACGTCCCCAATTGGCCGGCTAAGAGAGAGAGATTCCGCGCTCGAGTGCCCTCATTATTAACCCCGGAGGAGGGCCGTCTTTGTCATCCGAGGCGCTCTCCCCTTGTGTACGCGAACAACTGGCGCCCGGGTGCAAGTATCTGTTACGCAAGCGCGCGACCGATCGTCCCCCTCCCCCTCCTTGCCCGCTGCACAGACGCCGGGGTCTCGAAACATCCTGGGAGGTGCCCGACGGAACGGAAGAGCTCGCCTGCACCGTCGGCGACACGATCATACTCGCCGCCGCTCATCTCCAAATTGTTACTTATCTATATCTTTCGATCTCTCACGGGCTCTTGATTGCAGCCGTACGTACCTATATATATATAATATATATATATATATATATACTATTACTTTGATCGGGGACAGTAGCTGCGCCAGCTTTTGTCGATGCGTATAAAGAAACTCTCGAGGAGCCATACGCGCGAGTGGTAAAGTTCACGTGTTTTTCAAGCCTCGAAAATTTTAAGTAGATTTTCTCGGCTCGGTAATTAGCTCGGTAGGGCATTTCCGACAGCTGCTACACATCGCATTTCTCCATCTGCCCGCGAACAAACGTCCGACTGTTTTCCGCGAGACGTACAAATGTTGTTCGCTCCCTTTTTTTTGCACGCACCGCAAGCTGATCTTCCAATCATCATATATACCTACATGGTGATACACCTACATTGCAAAGGGAGTGGCGAAGAAAATTCATAAAACCCCGTGAAATCTGCCGTCACTGCCAACGAGCCGCGTGCAAATAATATAATATGTGTACGTACAATTATATTATAGGTACAACGAGAGAAGGAGAGAGTGGCTTCTTGTATATAATATATGGGCCCATACAGCTGTATCATTGAACAATCAGATAAGCGGCCGAAAAGAAGCATTTGAGCCAGCAAGAGACCGCGGGTGGGGGAGAGCGTATATAGCCGGGGATAACAAGGTAAAATCAATTAATCGTCTAATTAGTTGGCCGCGAACAACAGTTTCATCGGAATCTCCCTGGGCGGCGTTCCCCGAACCTCCGCTCTCACTCGTAAGCGGGTCGTATAAGTTGTATAGGTGTGTATAGTGAGCAGGAGCATCAGCAAACCCCCCCCCCCCCATCCCCTTCGTCTTGTGCGCTATTACGCGGAGGACGCGGCGCGCGCCCGCGCTCCTCTCGGGGGGGCTTTATCGGCCGGAATCTGCTGCGGCAGCCCCGGTACGACAAGCCGGGGTACACGTCAAGAGCAGAGAGAGGGTATAGACTACGTGCATTCTCTCTCTCTCTCTCTCTCTACGAGTGCACGTGTGTATATGTTTGAGGAGGGAGAATTCGGGGGCGCGCAAAGTCCCCACGGTTGCCCTGCAGACACACGTTTCCTGGTAATCATTAATTAAGCCCACTGGGCCTTCTCCTCTCGTTTACGACTATACGTGCAGAAGCTTATGTACATTATACACACTTACCCGTACCTACCACCAGCCAATGTTGCGTTTGACGATGAAAATTGGTTCAACTTCTCGTGGTACACCTATACGTTATAGGTATTTTCATTGAGTTTTCGGATAGTTTTCATGATGATTTGTTTTGCAGAAAAAAAATGTAGACGTCCGGGATAACTATTGGGATGAAAAAAATTAATTATACCCTTTCTCATTGCAGACGTCAAACAATAAAAAATGAAAAGAAATTTTCTAATAGAATTTATTTTTAATGATGATGCAGTGAAAAGATAGTTATCCTGAAGCAAAAATTACAGAGGGATCATGAAATCACAAATTTAAAAGTTCTCCCCGATGTAACTGTTAATAATTTAATACTGTTAGAAAATACAAAAACAATAGGATTCGACTGTAAATTTAAAACACATATAGCCACAATAGACGTACTTTTTACCTCGTGTCTCACTCGTATGTACACGATTTAATGAATAATCACCTTAGATTTCCACACCGAGATAGGAATACAATACTGCATATCGGTTCCAAGGAATATTCGCGCACGTAAACGTGAAGGATGTACAGCTGCCGGCCGATTTGGGAATACCATTTTTTTTCCCCCTCCAACGTGGCGTAAACATAAAAGTACCCACAAACGTCGCCCGATAGAGAACTGATAAACGCGACAGCGTATATTATATATGTACACCTAAAAGGCGTCTCATTTGCGTCTTCGTGCGAGACGGCCGTAAAGGCGCTTCTTTTTTTTCTTTTTTTTTTTTTTTTTCTACGTTTCGCCCCATTTCTTTTTCGCAAACGAAGCACTGCCTACGTGCAAAAATGCAACCAGACAAAAACAAACGGCCCCTACATGTTTCCATTTCTTCCTGTACACATTATTTCCGCGTGTATATGCACGTACCATTTTGGTGACGGATGCTACCGTGTTTTTTTTTCCGCATCCACGTATGCAGAACTGTTGGACACTCATGAAATGGTCTTTAGTTTTTTTTTTTCTCGCCTGCTAATATACGTCGGATCCAAATTCAATGGCAGGTCGGGTCGTCGCGTGGGTATAGGATAAACACAATTTTACAGCGGACGATGATTGTTCATCACGAGGCATAACTCTGGACGGGGGGGGGGGGGACAAGGCAATAAATGAAACCGTGTCGCTCGTCAAGGCGCTCGAAAAATTTCGGGTCAATCCATAACGGCGATGGCGTCGCACGAGCGGGACGAGAATAAGCCGAAATCCCGAGGCTGTCAATCAAGTTCGGAGGAAAGGGAGAGAGAGGGATAAAAACTCTCGTCGCGCGCGTCACGAATACCTGTGTTGTTCCCATAAAGAAATTCCATTGTCGTGTACACGATTTATATGTTTCATGTATTACCGACTCGGTGTGTTTCGAACGAACGCGTTCACAAATTGATTCTCAATGGGTATATATATATATATATATATACACGATGGAAAAGAAAAAAACAACGATTACCATTTGGTGTACCAATGACACGTATATACCATGAAGCGTCTCGCCTCGGCATCTCACGCTATTCCCCCCCAGCCGTATACGCGTGCATTTAATTATCTCGTTTGTCCTGCAACCCATGGAGATAAGAACATCCTCCTCCTCCTCTTCGGAGACACACTCGCAATGATTAATCTCTGGGTAAAAGCAAAGTAGCAGTTCGAACGAGAGAAACAAAAATCGAAGGAAGAAGAAATAGATGCTGATGGGCCGGGGGGGGGGCAGGACGGATATATACGTCCACCGGTCTGTCGTTAAGATGGACCAGCCCGATACGAAGCCCAAAAGCTGCCGAGGCTGTGAGAGAATAGGGATTCGTATAATATACTCGGTGTTTGGAATACATTATGTACCGGCGATCGCTCGTATTTTTTTTTTCTTTTTTTTTTTTTTTTTGTTCGATTTCGTCGGACGGCGCCGATGCAGCTACTGCTCCTCACGTGTTTTATTGTACCTCGTTCTCTCTTTTATACGCGCAAACAAAGCACCGTTACTCTATGTATTAATTTCCATTTGGAGGAATAATTATGTACCGGCTCTCGTCTCGATGCAAATAGTAGCGTTGATTATGAGAAAACGTCCCGAGACACCTACACGTGCCATAATGACTTGCTCGCGGCGTGCGACCCAAAGCCGCGGATTTTTCGAAAAAGTTTGTCGTCTGTTTGCAACGAGCACAGCCGTACTCTCGCTCCCGCCGGGAAAATCGACGACAGCAAGAGGGAACACAGGGCCGGCCCTGTTCCGTGGACTTTATCACCCGAATCTCGCCACGGAGCCCAAAGCGTCGCGCAAATATAGCCGAGAGAGAGCCTAAACCGCGATCGGCAGATAAGGCCCGCTACAGTTTTAGCTCCAGCACTCTACTGTGCGTGCGATATACATCTCAGCTCGAAACCCGGACGATTCCCTCTACGGCCCTTTGATTATTTTGCGTCCGGAGAGCGGCTACGATTTTTCCGGCTCGCTCTTTGACCATCGGCCGCACAGAGGCATGTATGCACACTTACATCGGCGGAAGCTATAAAATCGCGTTACGCGGAATAGAAGAGAGCCCTTACGGTCGATGGTATATTTAGTATTCGAGGCGCGCGATGCGACGCGCCGTACGTACACCGCCGGTGGTGCTTCTCCTGCGCCGAAGCGCGCGTCGTC